AGATTCGGATTTTATCAAATGTCATGTAAAAAATTGTTATTTTATAACAATTGTTATTCTTTTATATATTATAGGATATTTGTAGTAATATCAGTTGCAAAAATTATAAATTATTTTCAATATACCAAAGTGAACTTTCGAAATTTCTTATTATGTTGATGTTCTACGAAATAGAGATAACTATATCAAAGTTCTATGAAATGAAGATAATAGATTTTCACACACACACACACACACACACACACACACACACACACACACACACACACGCACGCACGCACGCACGCACGCACGCACGCACGCACGCACGCACGCACGCACGCACGCACGCATATAATTAATATTAAAAATAATTCATGAAGCTGTTGCAATTGGTGTTAGTATACAAGTATCCTAAAATATGTAAAAAAATAACATAATTGTGGTTTTATAATATCCTAATTTTTTACATAAAATTTATGCGGCTCTAAGCTTCCATGCTTTACATAGTGTATATAGATATAATCTTGTTATATCTCACTGCGACGATATAATGTAATTGAATCAGTTATTGCAATGAATTAATTATTGCATATGTTATCAAAGCAAAAATTGTTTGGGAATAAGCAAAAGATTTTACAAATGTTATACTGAAAGAAACAATTGGCTGAATATGGTATAGCATTTTTAATTTGCTGCAGCAGCCAATCTTTTCTTTCAGTGTACACGGAATGATTTTGCTAAAAGATCTTAAATTTTGCTGAATACACATCTGAAAATATTTTTGCTGAAAACTCAAACTAGTTGCAAGAATATTAAAACTTGGCAGCATTGTTCATCATTTTTGTATTCAACATAATTGTTTTGTATAACAAAATTCAATAACAAAATTATTTTCAGATCTGCAAATCGAGCAAATTTTGCATCTTTTAGTAAAATCTTGTTGTGTATCTATCGGTTCACTAAAGTTATTACTAATTAATTGTACTTTTTTGCGTAAAACTCCATTAAATTTTAATTGCGAATATAATAAATTTTCAGAACTAATTCTCTCTTTGAACTAAAGCGAATATAATGAATTTTCAAAACTAACTCTTTGAACATTACGAAATTTTACAGAGAGAGACACTCAGATGCTGCAATCCGTGTATGCCGCAATATTATAAAATTCTGTTTGAGCAAAGCTATAAAAATGAATTGCTTAAAAATTCATGAGATAACAGTGCCGAAAAGCTAAGCTGAATCAACCTTACGTTTACGGTGCCTCATCGATGGCTAATATTTAAGTTTTCCCTTACTAATTAGTAAGCACTTTCTACTCGAATCTTTAATACGGCATTTGTAGTTTGTTCAACGTTATTCGAATGAAATGTTCAGAGGAACGTTAAATAAAATTCCGTTCCACTTTCAGCGATATTCCCGTGTTGAATTGTCTTGGAATAGACCGGATTGGAAAAATGGCCTTGATATATATAAGCAGAGGCTGTGAACCGGCTAATGCCGCGCGCTATTGTTCTTGTAATTGAATAATTAATTAGATAGCTGACACGTGCAATGATGTTGCAGGTAACTTCAGTTTTACCATTCATGAACACGTGCGAACTTATGTTAATACTTATGTTAATACATTGATGACGTTTGAGAATTGTAGTATTTAAAGCATTCTCGTTTCATTGTATGTATCTTGTGTAAAAATTCGTAAAATTTCGTAAAATTTATAAGGGTATCCTGGACATTTCAGATACACTAAAAAATAGATCGTTTGAATTAAATTTTTGTATCGATGATTCGAATATTTCCCGAAATTATTTTATGTTTCTAAAAAATTTGAAAAAAAATGATACAGCGTGAAAAAAATTATATAACATTAAATTATAAAAATCAAAATTTTATCTCGAAATATTTTCTAAATTTATATCTTTAATTATCAATATTTTAATCAATCTTGATTAATTGATTATCAATCTACTTTGATAGAATAATTTTTATGATTTATATTTCGCTCTCTCTTTCTCTTTTTCTCTTAAAATTTTTATTTATTTTTATTTATGTATGCCATCAGATAAAGTCAATCGTAGAAATGAACTGATAAATAAATCAAATTGTCTCGATTTCATCCATTGCTGAGAGCTTTGGATATTATCTTATTCAAGCAATCAATTGATAGCAAACATCGGTAAAATGTAAACGTGTCTTAGCTGTAATCATTGGTCAGTGTAAGTCATTTGTAAAATCTCTTCGATCATGTTCTTCGTACGTAATATATATAATATCTATAGGATGCGCGTATGCGGAGGAGAGAAAATATCTAGGATGTACAAATAGCGAAATTTTTATTAACATTGCTTATTAATAAGGTTTGATACCTAATTATTCTCCGCGATAAAAAAAAACAAGAAATTTAAACATACAATATCTAAAGAGATACCGAAAAGGGGAAACTAAATTTCCTCTTTTTGCTTATTTAAACTATAATTTTAAATTATTATTTCTTTTAATTTGTGGAATTAAATTTTTTTATTTCCAGTTTATACAACAATTTCTTTATTTATAGTTTATTTTTTTTATTAGAATTAAAATTATTGTGAAATTATTACGAAATTATAACTTCATTTATACATATATTCAACAAATATTTAATTTGGATATGAATGAAATATATTGCAACCGTAATTATAAATGTAGTTGAATACGTAGAATGTTACTTTATGTTCGATCACATTTCTCGAAACGTACGTGAATTCGATGCGCAAAGGAAAGAGTCCCGGTTCTCGCCGGAATTCGCTATAGGTCCACCTGTTACTTTGTCGGAGTTTTTCGCAGAATCGCGGACGGTATATAAAGCTACGTTCACAATTACAGCGATTTGCGGTTACACATATTACGACGCAACGCGGTCTGAATCCTGGAGTCTTCATGAACCTACATGTCTCTACACAGTTGTCATTAATCAAGTGAAAAATTCTTTTCCCATGTAAACACGTCACGATAATTGAAATTACTTCATATATTCACTGTGATTAATTATGATTAACGGTTTATCGCGTACCATACTGTGACTAATATCATCAATGAATGTCACGGCGGTAGAGTGATGCATTTTCCTGCAGTCCTTTTGACCTGACTTAGCTTCCGTAAGATTCGCGTGTCCAGCTCCCGCGCAGAAATTGTTCACAATCGTCGAGTTTTCTCGGCATGAATGCAACACGCCGTGCAAGATGATCGACAATGGCCAATTAGGACAAGGTAGGGTCAGGGCAGCGCAAAGCAGAGCAGAGCAGAACAGGCATGTCTTTTGGACAACTGTTACGCTTTCACAATATGGCTACCAATACGGCAGCTGCTCTTCGGAAGCATCTTTTCCTCCGCGGTTGCTATCCCGCGCACTTTCGTCTCCTATGTGAAAAGACATCGAACTCTATAGAATACTTTAGATCGGGTTGGACTAGGTTGAGCAAGGACCACGCG